GCCCTGATACTAAGGGTCTTGTTTGAATAGTGTAGACAGATTTAAAATAAATCTTAAAAATACCTTTAATCAATAGATGAACAAGATAGATATCAAAATTGTTCAATAAGAAAGGAAGAAAGAAGTAACGAAAAAAAAAAGGCAATGAAAAATTATAAAAACACAGGAAGTCCAGTCTGTATWTTTGTAAATCAAACAGGAAGCCCGACTAATTCGCTGTAGTCAAAATGGCGGCCTTGTTGGAAGATTTGTCTCCWTGACAATGTTTTCAGGTACAATGCGAATTGTCGTTGCCTAAACTCACTTGCATTCTGTAATATAGACATTTTTTTATATTTCCCTAGGTTTTTGAATGCGATGTCTTATTTTTTATAGATTATTTTGATCCAAAAATTAGGTGCGACAAACAATGTGTGCTTACAGTAGAGTTAACGAATGAAAAAATTTACTGCAAGAGCGGATTAAGACAGTAAGTATGAAAGATACGATTTTTCATTTAAAAAGTAAAATATATAGTAATATTTTCTTATTCAYAATTTGCTGAATTGAATTATGCAAAACAAGAGCAACAACAGCAAAAACCTTAAAGCTTATCTTTAAATGCTTTTAAAATTGTGTGTTGCTTTGTCCCTTGTTCAATTCTTCAAATTCTGACGAATCTTGAAACGGGTTAAAATGCCAAAAGGGTGAATTTSTTTTTTCTTGTCTTATGGACTATAATTGTATGCAAATATAATCATATATTATAAGCTTATTTTTAATTCATATTTAAATGCTTTGTTTGCACCAAGTCATATCACAGCTAACAGGCATGCAACAAAACTGCCTTCCCCTCAAAAATGATATTTTATTGTGAAAAGTTTAACAATACTTTAGTTAATGTTTGGTTTTGATAAACTAAAATGCATTTGCTAAGTGTTCTTTTTGGTGTCAAATCTGAATGWAGTTTACAAAAGCAAGCCATTTCAAAAGTCTGCTCTTGCATTCTATTGATCACTTGTTGAATTCATTAGATAATGGATCAGAACACAATGSAAAGTCATAGTCATGGTGGAATTAGCCAATCAGAGAGAAATACATTGATAAGAATAATTTCCTGATTTGTATATAACTATTTACTCTTTTCAGCACAAACAAAAACAGCTACAAAAAAGCAATAACAATAACAAATAATATAATATAATGTTATGATTCTTAGCAGAACATTATTTTGCTAATGTTTGGCCTATCTATTTTCCATGAGAGACAAGTAGCCAGGACAGGTAGTGTTGAGATTTGATAAGAAACATGATTCCCTGTGATGTAATTAATAAGATACAAAATGAGCAATATGTCTGTCAGTATTTTCAGATCTGCCCATTGCTTTGACACAGCAAAACCTTAAAACAGCTTAGTGCTTTATTCTGAATTACAGATTAGT